GAGGACGGGGGCGGCGGGAGCCGGGGTCGTGATCGTGGTCGGGGCCGGGCCTGGGGTCGGGGCCGGGGCCGGCGTCCCAGGGCTCCTTTCCCCGCGGTCCTTGGACGTCCACCCCCCTCTTTCACCACCCGAGCCCCGCTGGGGTCCGGCAGGGCCCGGGCCATCCGCATCCCGGCCCCGCGTCCTGCGTTCTGCGCTGCGACCCTAGTCCCTCCCGCCCTGCGCTCCCTGAGGTCGGGAAGTTTGCGGGTCCAGGAGGCCGCGTTCCTCGCAGAGGTGGAAGGTGCATGTGGGGTTTTCGGGGACGGTGGACTCAGAGCCAAGAGGCAGCTGTGCTGGGGGGCATTTAGTTAGACTGGGGGGAAATTAGATTGGGGGGGCAGCTTTACTGGGGGCAGTCAGACTGGGGGACAGTTAGACCAGGGCTTGCTGGAGGACAGCTATGCTGGAACTCGAAGAGGCAAAATTAGACCACCGGAACTGAAGTGAGAGACTGAGAGCCACGCTTGAGCTTTGGGGAATGGAAAAGTAACGGATCCTCTCCCCATTTAACCCCTACCCCATGTACCTACACTGCATACTTTACCTCGCACACCCCACCCACAGCACCCCTTACCTCGCACATCTCCACTGCACCCCAACCCGCCTTCCCCAACTGTATCCCAACCCGTACACCCTCACTGCACCCCCTAACCCCACACACCCCCAATGCACCCCCTAACCCCACACCCCCCACTGCATCCCCAACCATGCACATCTCCACAGCACCCAACCCCACACCCTCCACTGTACCCCCAGCCCCACCGTACCCTCACTGCACCCCCACCCCACATATCTTCACTGCACTCCAACCCCGCACACCCCCACTGTATCTCCTTGCCTCCCCATTCCAAGTTCCTCCAGGGAGGGGAGGTCTGACACAGAAGCAGCTGGAGGTGGGGTGGCCTGGGGCCTGCACCTCTGCTAGGGTTTGCAGGGGTGAAGTTGGCTGCTGGGCGGCTCTTCCCCTCCCAGAGGACAGCTGAGAGCAATGGCCTCGAGTGCCGAGTGCCATGCTGGAGGGCCCAGGGCTCCCAGCGGGCTAGGCGGGCCCCTGTCCCATGGAGAGCCCCTGGTGGAGAGCCCGGCTGCAGCCACTCCCTTGGCCTGCACACATGCCGGTGCTGTGGAGGCAGACTCCTCTAGGGGTGATGCTGTGTTCTGTGGGTGGCAGTACTCCTTGGGGGGAAAGGGAGGGCTGGGCCTGCATGGAGAGGGAAGGAAGGCCAGGCCTGTGGAGGAAGCTAAGATCCTCCTGAGGGGACTGGAGGCAGAGAAAGAGAGGCCACCCAGGCTCAGGCCTGTCATCCTAGCTACTCTGGAGACTGAGATCCTCAGATCACAGTTCGAAGCCAGCCCAGGCAGGATTATCTCCCATAGCCAGGATTAGCCAGCAAAAAGCCAGATATCAAGCTGTCACTCAGGGTTAGTGTCAGCCTTGACCCAAGAAGTTCAAGGAGAGCACCCAGGCCCTGAGTTCAAGCCTCTACTGCTTTGCACGTGTCATGCATGCACGCACGTGCACTCGTGCACACACACACACACAGAGGATGAGTAAACTGCCAGGCTCTTCTATGAGATTTTGAGCAGACTGATCTGTCCACATGGAAGGAATCTAAGTGAGGTTTCCTGGCAAAGGCGGGAGGGGGTCATGACTGCCCCAGCGGAGTCGCCCACCCTGGGCAGGTGAGAGAAATATCACAAAGAAGGGGAACCAAACATGACTGTATTTGTATCTGAGGCCTTATTTTTTTTAATTTAATTTTATTTTATTTGTGAACATACTGTACAGAGGGGTTACAATTACATGGGCAGGATAATGCGTACATTTCTTACCAAGCATTGCAGCCTATCTGAGGCCTTATTATCCTAGGAAGCCATCCAGAACAGATGGAGGCCCATGGAGTTCTCCAGAAATGGAGATGTTCCATCAGCATCTACTTTCTGGCCCCACAGTGTAAATCTCACTTGCTACAACAGTCATTTTCTGGGCGGGCAGAAATGTCCAGTGCACCCGGAGTAGAGACTGGGAGATGGGAACTATGAGGGAGAGCTAATTGGTGTAAATAGAAGTTCAAGTGAAGGATAAAAAGGTAACAGGAATATGGAACTGTGAAAGTGTTCTGGGAAGACAAATGGGACTGGTGCTGCATCACAAGAGGCAGCCGGGCAAGGACAAGGAGTAGAGGAGTAGCAGAAGTAGGGGAGGCCTACCAGCCAGAGGCCTGGTAAGACAGGCCTGGAGGTGAGGGAGAGGGATGGGCAGGCCCAGTGCAGGAGAAGAGGCTAAGGGTCAATGGATCAATTTGTGGGGGTGTGTGGCAGTACTGGGACTTGAATTCAGGGCCTGCACACTATCCTTGATCATTTTTACACAAAGCTGATGCCCTACCAATTGAGTAACACCTTCACATCCAACTTTTTGGTGGTTAATAGGAGATAAGAGACTCACAGGCTTTCTGGCCCAGGGTGGCTTTGAACCACGATCCTCAGATCTTAGCTACCTAAGCCACCAGCCTTCAGCTTTTCTAAGTTGCAGAAGACCTCTGCACACTCTTCACATCAGTGATGAAATTGAAAGCTTCCATGCCATCGAGATAGGAGCTCTTGGGTATGCTTGTCTGCTTCTTGGCTTAGGTTTTTAACTGCATGTTTGGCTTTTTGGCTGTTTTTTTTTCTTCCCCCAAATAGTTTGTGCACTGTTGTAGCTTCCCTAAAAATGGTGTCAAGGTTGGTAGAGGAGCAGATGAGCAGGCCCTGCTGTTCTCCTTGTTTACAGTCTCACATGATTCACAGCTGTGTCAGATTGTCCTGATGGGCTTCTGTATTCACTAGAGTGCATTGAGGGGAGTGAAAATGATCCATCTTGTCACGCAGCATTTTCATAAAGAATGTCAGTGCACAAGGCTTTTTTCAGCCAGTGCACAGGATACTCCAGCTTTCCCGAAAGTTGAACTACTATTCACCTGACAGCCATGTCCTGGTCCATCTTCTCCCTCTCTTCTCACACATATACTTCTCTCACAATTTCCCAGTTGGATGTTAGTGCTAACCCTCTATCCCTCCACATGTTCTGCAGTACCAGTGCTCTGGATGACTGTTATACTATGTGAGATGACTGTATACCTGTGGGACAACTGTTACATACTGTGAGACAGCTATTATGTACTATAAGACAACTGTATACACTGTGAGACCACTGTTATATACTGTGAGATGACCACTTGCTTATACAGTGTGAGATGACTAGTATACAGTGTGAAATGATAGGTATACAGTGTGAGGTGACTTATATACTATGAGATGATTGTTATATACTGTGAGATGACTGATACACAGTGTGAGATGATTGATAAACACTGAGATGATGATACAGTGTGAGACAACTGTTGTACAGTATGAAATGACTTGTACAGTGTGCGACCACCTCTATGCACCATGAGACAACTGTATACAATGTGAGATGACTGTGATACACTGTGAGATATCTGTTATACTGTGTGAATGACTGTTGTACAGTGTGACATGATGGTTACATAGTGTGAGATAACCATTATCCAGTGTCAGATGACTGTTACACAGTGTGAGAGGATCTCTATACAATGTGAGGTGATGGTTATACAAGGTACATTTCTTCTTGTTCCAAGGGTAGATCTCATGTGGTTTACCTGAGTCTTGTACTCACAGGCCTCTGGTGGTTTTATCTAGAGAGCCCACCATTCTGTATGCTGTCTTTTCTTCCTCCTCTTCCCACTGTTTCTGTGTCAGAGTTCGAGTGCTAGCATTTGCTCATTTTGTTTGGAGCGGTCCTGGGAACCTCTTTTTCAGAGATCCACTGCTGTAAATCTGACAATAGGCACATTGGAAGACAGTGACAGAACACCATCCTGTTGAGGAAAGAAAAATGAGATTTCGGATTGCTTATTGTGTTTCCTGCACCTACATATAGATTTAGGTGGAATATTTAAGCCAAGTGCTGGTTCCTCATGCCTGTAATCCTAGCTGCTCAGGAGGCTGAGATCTGAAGACTGGAGTTCGAAGCAAGCCCAAATAGGAAATGCTGTGAGATTCTTATCTGCAGCTATTCACCAAAAAGTCAGAAGTAGAGCTTTGGTTGAGTGGTAGAGCACTAGGCTTGAGCAAAAACCCTAAATAAAGGACAGCACCCGGGCAGGGTTGGGGGGCAGATCTGCGGACAGCCTGTATTTCAGTTGTCATGCAATGAGAAGTCTCTCACAGGCAGGGGTGGCTGGAGGTCTGGAGCTTCCTGGGCTCTTTCGGGGCCTCTGTGGGGCTCACAGTCACACTTTCCACCTGCTGAGAAGGAACGGAGGGCTGGTTAGGAGGGGACCAGGACTTCTGTTGGTAGAGGTATGTGAGGACATGCTGGTCTCTTTGTCAGATGCCAGCCACTGGCATCTGTGGTTCTTTGTCACAGGCTTTAGTCATGAACACCTGGATTTGTGTTTCAAGATCTGGGATCTCTGCATGAGCTCTAGTGTGCTGTGTTAGTCCTTCTTGCTCCTTGTCTGTAGAACTGGGGCCTGACGCCTTGCAGAACAGACCTGAGGCCTGAGGAGAAAGTTGTGCATTTGGAATTGCACTTTGAAAGGACATTGTTGTGGCTTGTGTGGCCTGGGCATCTGCTCGCAGGGTCAGGACTCACAGCGTGGTGGGTATGCACCCCTGCTTTGAGGCATGTTCTGAATATCCAAGATCCTGGAATTTCCTGGCCAGAGACTGTTTGCCCCATAGGGGCTGGGCGTCCTCTTCTTCCTTTCTTCATTGCAAGAAAGTCAAGGCTTCTACTGCCAGCATGCTTAGCCGGTAGTGGACAAGAGATCCACCTCTTGCATCACAGCTCCATTTCTGGCTTTTGGGTAGATAATTGGAGATAAGAGTCTCAAGATCTTCTCTGCTCAGGCGGCTTTGAAAGATGGTCCTCAGATCTCAGCCTCCTGAGTAGCTAGGATTACAAGAGTGAGCTACCAGCATTCAGTCTAAAGCTTATGTTTTACTGTGAAGAACAATACACTAAACTGGGATAACGTTGGCTTAGGTGTGTCACTAAAAATAACTTGATTACCGTCTAACTCAGACAGGAGAGGAATCTGGCCAGTTTGGATAGAGGAGTTTGTGGAAAGCCAAGAATTAGGAAATCTATGGAAGGCTGTAGGGCATCCAGGGTGGCAAAAAGCCACTTGACGATGGCAGGTATCTAGGGAACATGGTAAGTATTAGGAA